AGTGTGAAATCATGCGGCCAGAGCACTCAGAGCATCCAGAGCTTACTCGGAGACAAGTGGGAGACAAATGGGAGACAAGTGTGAAATCATGCGGCCAAGCACTCAGAGCATCCAGAGCTTACTGGGAGACAAGTGGGAGACAAGTGGGAGACAAATGGGAGACAAGCCTGAAATCATGCGGCCAGAGCACTGAGAGCATCGAGAGCTTACTGGGAGACAACTGGGAGACAAGTGGGAGACAAATGGGAGACAAGCATAAAATCATGCGGCCAGAGCACTGAGAGCATCCAGAGCTTACTGGGAGACAAGTGGGAGACAAGTGGGAGACAAGTGGGAGATTACACCACCGTAGACCCCAAACAGTTTGCGCTTTTCAAACCGAAACTAGAGCTTGCGACGCCCAGAGCTGGGAGACAAAGGATTGCGTACAGAGCGGGCGGACACATCTTAAGAAAGAATTGACAAGCCCCAACAGCAAACCTTTTGGGGAATTATTCTTCAAGTGCGAACATGATGCTGGTCATGCTGCTCAATCAGCGGGGAGCTGACCACGTGAGGACAAGAAATAAAAGCATGAGGAGCGAAGGACGTGACATGAAACTGGTTTTTGGTGCCTGACGTATGCCCTCCGTCCCAACTGAACGCCGAAATCCAATCCGGTCATTCATCCAACGCTTGCCCGAAAAGGGAAACAAAGCTGAGAGAGTTACACAGTGTGGCAGGAATGCAATCCCGGAGACAATCACGCACCCCTTTCAAAGGAGCAAGAACCTTTCACAGGTGAACCTGTTCCAGCGGACAGGGCAGAAAACACCAGCGCAGAAGAAATCACATGGGAGACAAATGAATAGAAATGCTACATGGCCAGCGGAAAAGGGCGGACACCAGCAGTGACAGATGTGGCAGACAAATGAATAGAAATGCTACATGGCCAGCAGAAAAGCCAGCGGAAAAGGGCGGACACCAACAGTGACCAACCTTGGAAACAAATGAATAGAAATGTTGCATCGCCAGCGGAAAAGGGCGGACACCGCAAGTGACAGACCTGGGAGACAAATGATGAATAGAACCAGCGGAAAAGGGCGGGCCGGCAGTGACAGACCTGGGAGACAAATGAAGAGAAATGTTGCATGGCCAACGGAAAAGGGCGGACACCACCATTGACAGACCTGGGAGACAAATGACTTAAGGCCAGGGGAGGAGGTCGAAAGCTAGCCGAATTGCACCGGATGTACTAGTTACATAGTCGGCAAAGCATGTAGTGATTACATGTTTTGGGAGAAAGGTTGCTACGTACACACTTTGCGCTGAAGAATGTAAATGTGACATCGCCGACTGGGAAGGGTACATTGGAACAACACGGGCGGACTCGTTGGCAGGCACGAAGGGGGGTAAATTTACCCCCCGCTTTTGTATGCCTTGAGTCGAAAAGAGGGGTAAGCATTTCTGACATCACACGGACTGTACATACACTGGGCGTCCGTAGTGTAGGAGAAGCACGGGTAAAGGGTATATGGAATATAGAGTGTCTTGAGGAAATAGCCGGCTTATGGTTATTGCAATTCTGGTGGTTGAATTTTTAAATTTACCCACCGCTTATGTATGCCTTGCGCCGGAAAGAGGGGTAAGCATTTCTGGATATTTCTGGCATCACAAGGACTGTGCATACACTAGGGCGTCCGCAGTGTAGGATAAGCACTGGTAAAAGGTATAAGGAGTAGAGTGTCTTGAGGAAATAGCCGGCTTATGGTTATGGCAACTCTGGGGGGTAAATTTACCCCCCCGCTTATGCATGCATTAGGTTAGAAATAGGGGTAAAGAACTTGTAACAGTGAAGTACAAGTCCGGAGACAAGCCAGCCGGGAACCCGACCACAAGCACCCAGGGAGACAAATGAAAAGAAGT